CTCTACTCTACTCTACTCTACTCTCTACTGCCATTTGTCAGAAATGGTGTAGGGTCTCCCGCTTGGTTAGGGGGTTGGACTAGATGACCTATAAGGTCCCTTCCAACTCTGATTATCTATTCTATTCTATTCTATTCTATTCTATTCTATTCTATTCTATTATCTGTGGTAAAAAGATCCACCTGGAAAAATGTCCTATATACCACAGGGATTGTGCAACAGATGTCAGATTACAGAGGGAAGGAGGAGGAGTTGGAGGCCTGGGGTGGGCGGGAGCGAGGAATATCCTGGGCTAATAAGAAACTGAACCCTACCCCACTCCCAGAAGAAAGTACCCGACCAAAAGCCCAGTGGTCAACCAGAGTCCGGAGACTGGAGGAATGGGATAAACCTCCCGCCCCGAATAACTTTTAACCAAGGGAGCCGATTCCAAGCTCGGTGCTCTACAAAGAGGTCGAGATCTCCTGGAGTGGCCAGATGTAGAGCAGACCAGGGTGGCCTCTGTCACCCATCTGGCTCTGCCACCCACTCTTTTTCGGCGCTGTCGTAACTTTGAATGGTCACTAAATGAACTGTTGTGAGTCGAGGACTCACTGCATTTGAATCTTTAGCAAGGGCATTTTTGTTGTTGTTAGTCGTGTCCGACCCATCGTGACCCCCATGGACAACGTTTCCCCAGGTCTTCCTGTCCTCTACCATCCTCCGGAGTCCATTTAAGTTCACGCCGACTGCTTCAAATGACTCCATCCAGCCCCCTCCTTCTCTGCTGTCCCCTTCTTCTTTTTTGCCCTCCATCTTTCCCAGCATTAGGTGTCAATTCATAAAAACATTCCTAGGCCTGTTTTAGTAGTTGCCATTAAAAAAAAAGGGTGGGGGGAGGAAGGAAATCTGGAAGAGCAGTTTGAAAGCGGAAGTACATTCCAACTCTTCTCTTTAAAAGATTGTAACTCAAATACCAGAGCTTTTGCCCCCGAATATATTTAATTGGAGAACGTGATTGATGAACACCCAGCACGTAATTGGAGAATGTGATTGATGACACCCAGCCCGTGAAAGGGCTCAATTGGAGAATCTGGTTGATGAGACCCCCAGGGGGGAGAGGGGGAAACAGGGTCACAGGGGACTGGAAATGACGTAAGCCAGAGTTGGCTGCATACAGGGCAGTGCCAGTATATCGCCTCTCATGAATCCTTTGAAGTTTGTTGAAGTTTGGCTGGGGAATCATGACTTCATTAGGGCGATTGCTGGAATCCTGACATTCGGCTCTTCTCCAGCGAGTCCTTCCTTCTCATGAGGTGGCCAAAGTCTTTGAGTTTCATCTCCAGGATCCAGCCTTCTAAAGAGCAGCCAGGGTGGATCTCCTCTGGGACTGACCGGCTGGATGGCCTTGCAGTCCGAGGGGCTCGCAGGAGTCTTCTCCATCACCAGGGTTCAAAGGCCTCCATTCTTTGGCGCTCAGCCTTCCTTATGGTCCAACTATGCAGGGGCATGATAGGACCCTGTAAAATATTCCCCCAGGGGTTAAACTGCCATTCCTGGGAAGCATCTGGGATTCTGACTTAAAGTCCAGCCTGTGCCATCTGCCGCTTCGATTTAGGGTCTGCCAGCCCAGCCTTTTCCCCACCCACTCCTGGCTGGGAAAAATGGCAGGAAGGGGTCAACCCCTAAGGGTATTCTACTAGTTAGTTTTTATTTTGAGGGGGGGGGTAGGCTGGATTATCTTCAACACGAGCTCCCTCTGGTGCTTGCTTCAGATTCCTAGCAGGTACAAGGGTCCTTTTAGCTACTTATCATTTATCTGATCGCAAAAGGATTTGGAGAGGAAGTTAAGCATTCCAATCTTAAAACTCCAGTCATTAAAAAAAATAATCAGATTTTTGTTTTTGGAAGGAGGAAGGATTGCAAAGGAAAGGATTTTTGAAGAAGCTTTCCACCAAAGGTCTGTCTTGGGGAAAAAAAGAAAGTTTCGCTGATGAATCTCCCTTTCTGAAGCTTTATAAGGGCGCAAGGATCATGGTAGTACATTCCTAAAATATGCCTTATTGAGTTTATCCAGATTTGGGGGGGCAGCGGTTATTCAATTTGGGGATTTAAAAACAGAGATTTAAAGGAAGCCATGAATTAATTACCCATGAGAAGGGCAAGGGGCAAAAAAAGAGGCAACGAAGACACAGGTGTGATTTGGACCGGATTTGTAATCTCAAGGCAACTTTAAGATGGGTGGACTTCAACTCCCAGAATTCCCCATCCAAAGAAAAGTTTATGGACTTTGCAAATTGAAATATCAATGGTTTCTGTTGGGTGGATGTATTGTTGCTCAAAGTTTGCTCAAACACGCAGTGTTTTGCAGCATTCACACAACACACAAAACCTGGGTTTTAATCTGGGTTAGTTTGGAGGTGTTATCAGGCTGTGTGAACGCAGCCCCCTTGGCTAGTTTATGATTCAAGGCCCTGGAGAAATCTCGAAATAAGGAAATTGGGTTAAATGTGAATGGCACCGAGGGAACCTGAAGGTTTGATTTATTTATATTTCAACTTTGCCATTCAGGAGAGATTTTAAGATTTTCTTTTTGTGGGGGGAAAAGGTGGGTGGGTGTTCTCTCAGGAAAAGTTCATGTATATTTGCTCGCCTCTTACTTTTCTGGGGGTGGAAGGTAAATTAGAATGTTGTCTGCGATCATAGTTTGATTTAATCAATAGTTAAATAAAAACAGACGCCTTCACTGGCCATAGTAAAAGCAAAGTAGTTTTCTGACTTATTTTTTTATTTCATTTCATTTATTTTATTTTATTTATGTATTGTATTGTATTGTATTTTATATTTTATTTTATTTTATTTTATTATTTTATTTTATTTTATTATTTTCCACAACTGGCTGGCAGAGGAACTCTTTCATTCATATTATTAATCAATACTGAATTAATATTAACCAAGATTAACATGTCATATTTTTGTTGTTGTTGTTGTTGTTGCTCTAGCCAATCAGCGGCTAAGAAATTCAATTTTCCCCACCCCCTCTCGCCCGCGGAACTCGACTTAAAGGGCGGGGTTTAGGGGAAAGGGCGGAGCGAGTACAAGAACGTGAGTGCGCACGCGCACTCTCTTCTCCTCTACCTTTTTTTTTGTGTGTCCGCGCTTTCCCGCTCTTTTCGCCTTCCTTCCCCCCACCCACTATTCTCCCGCCTATTATTTCCTCCTCCGTGCACGCGTCCGAGAAGAGGCGCCTCCTGCCCTTCCGCCCTCTCTTTTTGCCCTTTCTCCTCGCTGCGCAGGCGCGGGGAGGTGGCCTCGCGCAGCGCGTCAGGGGTTCTTCAGGCCGCGCTTTGCCTTTCCCCGCCGGTTTTTTTAGGGGAGGGGGTGTCTGCGCAGGCGCAGTACCTTATCTCCGCCCTTTCGGGTCACTCACCATTGGGGAGGCTGTGGGGGGCTCGCGGTCGCCATCACCATGGGGGTAAGGGGGGGGGGTCAGGATCAAGATGAGGAAGAAATGGGTGTCTTATTCTAATTTATACAGCTGTTCACCTCAAGAGAGTTTCGATTATATCTCCCTTAGGGGTGAAAATGGGGGTCGGCGGGGCTTATAATTTAAATATTCAGCAGAGTTTGGGAGGGGGAAAAAAAAACCTTTTGCAAAGTCCTTGGAGTGACTTTTCCCTCCTGGCCTCCCAAAGAGGGTGCTAGACTACAATTCCCATCCTCCACAGCCAAGGGGGGGGGGGGGGGCATCTTACACAGTCGAGGGGTGGGTTTGGGGTGACAAGGATATTGGACGGATGGACAGACAGACATAAATAGATGATTGATAGATAGACAGAGATAAAAAGACAGACAGGCATAGAGAGACATAGATAATAGATAAATATATGGAAGATAGATGTAGATAGATAGATATAGACAGACATCGATAAATAGTTGATAGATATCAAGGCAAAGAATATGCTTAATACTCCTATAATATATATTATATATCTAATACAATACAATACTACAATATAATT